GTGTGTGTGTGAGTGCAATTGTGCAGGTCATTCGTGCAGTGCACAAAGAAAGGGGTGCCATTCGTATCACAGTCATGATAATTCTGTGTATCGATTACAACAGTTTTTCACCAGTGAAAGTAAATATTTTGAGGAAAGCATGAATTTAGCAACAAGCAGACTCAGCACCGATGAAGGGGGCGGTGGGGGGAGAGAGAGGGTGATAGATTGTGACCCCTTAAGCTAACGTGAAATTAAACTTCTCCTGGAAATTGTCCTGCCTCTCACCGTGTCTGGGCCTGTCTTTGGGGGAAGGGACAGTATGAAATCACGGCAAGAGCCAGAGTTCAGGGCCAAACGGTCCTGGATTAGGGCTCAGCTCTGCACCCAGTAGTTTCCTGATCTCGCACTAGGTGCTTAGTCAACTGGAGCCTCTGTTTCTTCATCTCTGGTGGACACAATAGACTTGGGTTTGTAAGCCTTGTAGGGGGCGTTAGGATTAGATTCCAATTTACATATTAACATATAAATATATAATTTTAATTTATATGATTTATAAATATATATACTGTATACCCATCCCTATTTGTTGAGTACAGTACCCGGCACAGAGTGGATACTCACCAAATGCGGATCAGTATTAGTAGTAGTAACAGTGCACCTTAGCCTTTAATGATGAGACCAAATCCTCATCAATCAACATGTAATTATTGTACAAATCGTGCCATTCACCATGAGGTAGACACTTGGGGCAAAGAGTCCTTCAGTAACTTTTAACTAAATTACCTGGAATTTGATTTACGGGATTATATTACCTATGCTGCAAATCAAAATCATGTAGGTCTTTACCGACACTCAGATCATATCACTCCTGCCAAGAAATATAAAACTCTAATGTTATTGATTGTGCAATTAACTTTTGGTCTTTAAAGAAAAAATACCCCACACATTTAGGGACTATGGGAGGAACATTAAAAACTAGGCTATTTACTGAATGAGAATTTTCATCTATTAAACGAAGAAAACATACTACGGTATTTTCATCTGTTCAACCAAGAAAATGCACTACAGAAATATTATTTAAATGAGAGTAACGAAAAAAAGTTTTACGTTCCTTTTATGTTCCTAATTTCCTTTTCAAGCAGGACTAGACGAGAAAAGATAAAGAGAATTCATCTGCTTGATCGTGTTTCCGGCCGGTGATCGTCTTTGTGTTCACATTGTCACGGCAGAAGCAGGCGCTGTCAGCCCCGAGCTGCGTGCACGTGGGTGAGAAGCCCCATTTAAGTTTGTGATTCTTCCTTGCCCCCAGAAGCCCTCAATTTCCCACTCTTCCCGCACCATCTTCTTGCGATCTTTCTCTTGACTCTACGAGGCCTCCTTCAGAGGTCAGCCAAGTGTTCTTCCGACTGGAAAAGGGCAGAATTTTGACCCAAGAAGGAAAGGGAATGAACTAAGCTTTTGCCTGGCTCTTACAAAAGGCCTGTCTGGATCCTTCCAACGTCCAGGGGCTCCCAAAACCTCCACTCCGCGGCAGAGATCCCGCAGCAACAAGCTCATCTGCAACACCGTGTAGGTCAGTAGCCCCTGCTCCAGCCAGTCCCAGCCTCGCTCCCTGCACCGAAATACCTGCCGAAATAGCAGAGATTTGCATGCGTAAAGCAAGCCCAAAAGAGAACTAGGAAAAAGCATGGAAGAACCGCAAGGCTTTCTCGCGCATGCAGGGCTCAGCAGAGCACGGCACAGAGCCTCAATACTACCCAAGAACGAGTGGGCAGGTGCGACGCCACAGATCCTGTAAACTTCTATTGGTTTAAAAACCAGACAGATGGGGAGCATGTCTGTGGCCTGTCTGACAGATAAAGGTAGTGGCAAACCAAAGCTTTCTAAATCAATTTTAAGGTACAAAAAACCCAGTAGAAATGGACAGTAGTCAAGACCAGATCGTTTCCATTAATAAAAAAATAAAGAAATGCAAATAGGCCATAAACATGTGAAAAAAGCATTCAATCTTTCGTAATTGAGACGTGAATTAAAACAATAATGATTGGCCATTTGTTGCCTATTGGCAAAGATTTGAAAGTCTGATAGTACATGGAGTTGGTGAGGTTTTGAGGAAACAGGCAGTTCATGTAATGCTGATGGAGTTGTAAATAGGTCCAACCTTTTTTGCAAGGCAATTTGGCAATATCTATTAACATGTAAAATGTACATACCCTTTGACCCAGCAATTCCACTGCCAGGAATTCGTCCTGAGGGTATGTTCTCTCAACTGTGCAAAACCTGCATGTGGACTAGGACACGTGTTGCAGTGTCTTCCAACGGGGCTAAAAAAAACACTTGTTGATACCAGTTTAAGAAACCAGTCGAATGAGTTAGGGCACAATCACACGGTGGACCACCAAGCAGTCATGAAGTGCATGGCGGGTTTCTGCGCGCTTGTGGAACGGTGGCTGAGATAGCTGCTACGCGGGGAAGGCAGGCTGCAGAGCCACACATGGGGATAGCCCCATTCGCACCAAGGCTCTTCAAATAAACAAATAAATAAATACGTGTGTGCGTCTACCCGTATGTTTCGATGTTTGTACAGGCAGAGGAAATTTTTAGAAAGACTCTAAATTGAAAGAAAAGCTTCAATGGTAGCTACTTCTGGAAAGGCTGGCAAGGCCAAGGGTGCGAGAAGTATTTTATCTTTCACTTTACACCCTTTAATTCTGTTTGGAAGGGATGGGTTTTGCTTTCTTTTTTAGCCATTCACGCACATTACTTTACAATTTAAACAGGCGTTGTCTATTAAAAAGGAAAGAGCACAAAAGGGAAAAAGGGGGAAAACAAGAGAAGGAGGGAAGGAAAGAAAAAAGGAGTGAGGGAGGGAGGAAGGAAAGGAAAAGAGAAGAAACACCCTCCTTCTGTGGGGCAGAAGCCCTTTACCTGTTTCCATGGAGACAGACCAGTAGCACATGTGAAAACTAGCAATTTCACCCAACTTCACTCACACTAACTTGTTGCTTCTTTTATAGATTAAAGCAAGGAAGTACTCTACAGTTGGCTTTGTGCACACTTTTCCTCACTCTTTGCAGGCCGCCCTGGGATAAAGTCCTTACTGCAGCAGAAGCCAAGGGTGGGCCGTTTCCTCCCGTAATACTCAAATTCGTATTTTGCCTGATGTTTTTGTCTCTGAGCCTAGATCCCACAGTGATAGGTGCCACAAAAGTACCCAGCCGGCAGAGGATGCGCCCTGACTTTGCAGAGAGGAGACAGATACTTAGAGGTCAAGAGGCTGCCTCTCTGAAGGCCGGGATTCAGGCCGGGAGCTTGGCGGTCCGGGCAGATGGGAGCAGCAGGCTGTGTCGCTAGTGCATGAGGTGTGTGTTTGGGGGTGGGATGAGTTTGAACCAGATAAAAATGTTTCTTTTTTCCCTTTAAGATTCTGGTAGCTGACCAGAAGCTACATGAAATTTTTTTTCACTTACTTTTTAAGGTTAAAATCATATTTGAGCTCTATTTTATAAGATAATGGTCAAAGGACTTTTTTAAAGAACTGGTTTTTAAAATTTGAGAGACTTTAACAGGGTTTTTACAGTTTTTGGCTCCTTTTCTATGGTAAAGGAGGAAAGTTTAGAACTACCACAGGCCCGACATCTGCAGGACAAAAATCTTCTAGAAGCAAAGCGACCCCCTACTCTGTCCCTTCACCTGCCCCGCCCTTCCTCGTTCTGCCCTACTCTGAACCCTGCAACCATTACGGAAGCTTACAAAATATTCTGCGACTACTCAACTGTTTAAATATTAACAAGCATGTAAAACTACTGGGGGTAAAAGCCCGGAGCCTGCAGCCAGCAAGCCTCGGCTGGACTCTGCAGCTGCTCCTTACGCAACCCGGCGACTCCCAGCCTTCCGAGGATCACACACGTCCAGGGCTGGCCGGGCTCAGGCAGGAGGCCCGACTGACTCCACCAGAGTTGCATAAGCCTCTCATAGCATCCTAATTAGTCATTAAGACGCAGAACAAAGGGCCATTCTGACCGAGGTGGCACTATTGTATTTATTTGCTTTCAGGAAAGGAGACATTTCTTGCACATTCTGCCCTGGGAGGATGTGAACGGGGTTAGGAAGGGAAGACGGAGATGTGGAGAGAGGGGAGGGCCAAAGAGCTAGTTGCGGAGCATGACCTCCTGGGGATCTTCCGTCCCTGTTGTGTTTCTCCTTGCTGCTGCTGTTTAAGCTCCCACCAGGCCAGCCTTGGCTGGTCAAAGGGAAGACACCTCCCGCAGGGCCGCCACGTCGACCTGGTTTCCAGCTCTATCCCAGGCTTTTCCTGGTTGGCAAAATCACCATTCTCATGTCCACACATTTTATGTTTCATCAGACTAAATAGTTATGAGATCAGGGCTCTAAACTACTGATGCTCTGGTTACTGTAAAAGAAATGCACACATAGAACCTGCATCTTAGGGGTAGAGAACTAGCTTAAAGAAATAATCAGGGCTAGCCTGGCACGACGGCTTGAATCTGCAGTCCCAGCTATTCCAGGGCTTGAGGCAGGAGGACTGGTCATTTCCACCCAGGAGTTTGAGGCTGCAGTGAGCTATGGTGATGCCACTGCACTCCAGCCTGGGTGACAGAGCAAGATCCTGTGGAAAGAAAGAAAAAGAAAGAAGAAAGAAAGGAAAGAAGGAAGGAAAGAAAAGAAAGAAAGAAGAAGGAAGGGAGGAAGAAAGGAAGGAAAGAAGGAAGGAAGAAGGAAAGGAAGGAAGGAAAGGAAGGAAGGAAGGAAGGAAGGAAAGGAAGGAAGGACGGAAGGAAGGAAGGAAGGACCAAGACTAGTCCACTGAGTCTACAGATGAGGAAACTGAGGCCAGAAAGCCCAGAGGTGAGCTTTCTTACAAACGCTGTTGGGGCCCTGGTGGAGGCACTTGGCTCTACTCTGTTTTGGAGCTCGTAGCTAACCTGGCGTGCTTCCTTTGTCTGCTCTATGAATTCAGTGCTTACCTGAAACCTCCACCCAACCTGTTTGCACAGTTGGAAAACCCCGCCGGCTGCAGAGGCCGGGAGATAATCGTGGCAACACTGCAGCCTGCAGGTAAGTGTGAAGATAACAGCAGGACACCTGGAGAGGCTCTGGCGGGCACGGGGTGCCGCAGCTCATCCCTGCGCAGAGAAAGATGTTCCCCAGAGAGGAGGGCGTTCCGTGAAAAACTGGGTTCGGGCTGAAAGGATTTAGCCAGAGGAGTGGTTTGTTAGCCAGAATTACATTTGCCAAAGTTTACTGGGGAAAAAATTTAATTTCCCACTGTATTGCCAAGAGGATTGAGTCTTTTTACCTGTGCTTTGGAGATGAGTTCCCTAAAGATGGAAAATGGCCCGAGGGTCATCTTTCACCCCTGCACACAGCAGCCTGCCCGGTCAACTGTGGCACTTGGTCCTGAAAGCTACTCCAAGTTGACAAGGGAAAAAACAGTCTTTTCACGTTAAACTCACTTCCCTATGGGAGAGTTTTAGTAGACTACATCAGAGAAATGCCACAGATGCTAAATATCCGGTTTTAATACATCTCGAAACATCTTTTAAGACAGTGCAGAGAAATGCAGGCTGGGTAATAAAGTTACAGAGAAATTCAGGGCATTGATCAGTTGTAACCCAAAGATGCCACTAATGAAATAATGTCAACCTACGTGGGGGTCTCCAGTGACACATCAAAGAATTCTTTTTCACATGAAGTGGGTAGAAACATCCAATGAATTGAATAGAAGGAACTGCATAGAAACATCTTCAGATCTCTGCTCAAATGTTACCACTTCCGGTGAGGTTTTCTGCAGCCGCCTTATCTAAAATTGTAAAAACAATCCTCCCCTCACTTCCTGTCCCTCCCCCTGCTTTCTTTTTCTTCTTGGCACTTACTAAATATATCATACATGTAAACTGTTTATCTTTAGTTAATGTCTGTCTTCCACATTTGAATGAAAGCTCCAGGAGAACAGGGATTTCTTTCTGTTGTATTCACCGCTGTACGCCGAGCTCAGGGCAGTGTCTGGCACTTGGAAGAGCTCTCAATAAACAGTCACCGAATGAGTCAATGGCTGGAGATAACATGCTTATCAAATGTAAAGACAGCACAAACCCAGCAGGGCTGGAGAAAATATTAAATGGCAAAGTCAACAACCAACATTATCTTGACAAGTGAGAACAATAGTCTGAAGCCGGCAAGATGGAATTTAACAGGCTATGTAAATCAATCCCACACTTAGGTTTCAGAAAAACAATTGCATAAGAACGAGATGGGAAAGATAATGAGGCGAAATAATAGCTCTTGCAAAAATGACAGGGTCCCGGATGACAGCCAGCTCCATCTGAGTCAAAAATAAAACCAGCCTGTCCGAAAGTGTGATCTTTGCTGCCATCCCTAATTGAAATAATCATAGTTTCCAGTACACGTGTGCTCATATGCGTTCCTTCCTCGGAACTCACATCCTTTCTTACACGCAGTGTGGCTGTGAACCAGGTTGCTCGTTGCAGCCCGGTTGCAAGGGCACAGGTGAGAAACCACCTCAAGGCCCATCAACAGGGAACAGGCTAAATGAGGGAGGGAAAGCCATGCCATGGAATACCCCACAGCCGTTAAACAAGGACAGGGAAATTCTTCATGTACTGATATGGAGAGATCTTTAAGGTAAATAGGTGTTGGGGGCAGGGGTGCAGAGATTGGTCGATTTAACAAAAAGGAAATAAATGCCAAGCTTTATTTAGATTTGGCTTAGAGCCTTGTTACTCAGGGTGATCCTTGACCATTAGCTTGGGCATCAGCTGGAAGCTGGTCGGACGTGCAGAGTAGCAGGACCAATCTCAGACCTACTGACCCAGAATTTGCAATTTATTATAATAAGATTCCCAAGTGATTCCTGTGCACATTGACATTTGAAAAGTGCTGTTTTATTTTTTTTAATTTGTGAACATTTTTATAATGGCAAACTATACATAACATAAAAATTACCATTTTAACTATTTTTAAGGGTACAATTCAGTGGCATTAAGTCTGTTCATAATGCTGCTCAACCAACAGCTCCGTCTATCTCCAGAACTTATATCGATTATCATAGAGGTTTTGAACTACTTGGGCGACCTTATATATAATTATAATTACATCTTCCTTATTTGTTCTTCAAGACACATCTCCCATTTGTTGATTCCTCAATCACTGAATGTGTGTCTCTTGAGTGTTTATGCTACTCCAGGCATAGTTCTAGGCACAGCGGTAACTGAAAAGACATGAGCTTATACCCCTAGTTACTTGACTGGAGTGATTTACTGGTCTTCCTTTTATCCAGGCTTATTGAAATATAAGGACAAGCAAAAAATGGAAAACAGTATGGTGTTTCCTCAAAAAATTAAAAACAGAACTAACATTTGGTCCAGCCATCCCACTGCCGGGTATATACCCAAAGGCAAGGAAATGAGCCTGTGGAGGAGATGTCAGCACCCCGCGCTCACTGCAGCGCTGCTGATGACAGCCAAGACATGGCAGCAACCTCAGTGTCCATCGGTGAATGAATAAAGCAACGTGGTGTATTCACAGTGGAACACTACTCGGCCTTTAAAAAGAAGAAAATCTTGCCACTGGCACCAACACGGATGGACTTAGAGAAAGCCTGGTGAAATGGGCAAGGCCCAGAAAGATAAATCCTGCCTGATCTCACTTACATGTGGAATCTAAAAGCTTCAACTCGCGGAAGCAGAGACAGCATGTGGTTACCAGGGCTGGGATGTGGGGGAAATGGGGAGATGTTGGTCACAGGGTACAAACTTGCAATTGTAAGATGAAGAAGTTCTGGGATCTGATGTACCGCCTGGTGACCACAGTTAAGAATGCCGTACCGTATGCTTGAGTGTTGCTGAGAGAGTCAACCTTAAGCCTTCGCACCAGAAAGGAAAAAAAGGTAACTGTGTGAGATGGTGGATGTGTTAACCGATTTGACTGTGGTATTCATTTCACAGTCTGTACGTGCATCCAATCATCATGCTGTATAGCTTAAAAAAGAGATGCTGTTTCAGAGCATGAACGTAACCCAGCCTGTCTCACACCATCCGCACGCTTCAGAGGATGCAGCCACCCTTCTCCCCACCTCACTTCTTGTAGCCTTCCCTCTTGTTCTGGAGGCCAGCCTTGAGTCCCTGCCCAGAAGGTTCTCCGGGATCTCCGGGAACACTGGTTTTGCAGGATCCTCCTCCTTCATTCACTCAGAAGTGTTCGTGGCTGCACTGATGCCAATGCCAGCTGATTTTGCCCAGCCAGACCTTGCTTACTGAGGGATATCTGTAAGCATGAGTCTTTGCTCATCTTTTGTCACCCTGTTCACATCAGGAGTGAGCAACCATTGCAGTCAATCCCTGCTGGCCCGGGGTAATTTTCAGTGGCTACCACCCAAGTGTTCGGCCAGCTGGCAGAATCCTGGCCTTAGCTGTGCATTCTCCTCCAAGAGCACACAAGGGTAATCTCAAAACCAGCCCAGGAATTCTTTCCAAATTCAAGGTCACAGACACTGCAAGCAGCATGACACCACCATCACCTGGCAGAATTAGGAACCTGATAAGGCACTGAGCAATACTGTCATCGAGTGGGAACCGACCCACCACAGAGCGGCCAGCCTCTGTGGGTTACCTCCTCTTCCAGAATCATGACGTCCACATTCACCTTCCCCTCCTCAGCATGTGGCCAGTCTCTCTCCTTTGTCCTCTGCCTTCTCTGCTACACACCCAACCCAGGCAACAATGTTTACTTAGCCTGTGATCCTTACCCTGTCGGTATTTCAGGGCCAGAAGCGCCACACAGATGGCCACATGTATGAAGATCTTGCCTTTGGGTTGTGTAGTATGGGTTCGGGTAGGATTCGGTTCATGCCTTGTAGACAGGCAGACATGGAAACTCACAGTTTACAGGAGCAGAAGCAGCTATAGGAGCCCGGAACAGTGCCTTTTCCTCAGTTTATCATGTCCGGCTTTCAGCAAAAAATTACAAGGCTTATTAAAGGACTAAAAACACAGTTTGAAGAGACAGAGAAAGCATCAGAACCAGACCTGGATATAACAGAGATGTTGGAATTATCAGACCATGAATTTTAAATAACTATAATTAATATGCTGCACGTTCTAATGGAAAAAGTAGGCATTCAAGGAAAGATGGACAATGTAAGCAAAGAGATGGAAACACCAAGAAAGATTCAAAAGGAAAAGCTAGAAATCAAAAACACCACAACTCAAATGAATGCCTTTGATGGGCACATCAGTAGACTATCTGTGGCCAAGGAAAGACTCAATGAGCTTAAAGACATGTCAGTAGAAACTTCCAAAACTCAAATGCAAAGATTATATAGAAAATTAAAAAAAAAAAGGAACAGAACATCCAAAAACTGTGAGACCATTACAAAAGCTGTAACATATACATAATAGGAATACCAGAAAGAGAAGAAAGAGAGAAGAGAGCAGAAGAAATATTTGACTGAGAATATTTCAGAATTAATAATAGACACAAAACCACAGAGCCAAGAAGCTCAGAGAACACCAAGCAAGATAAATATCAAAAACTACAATTAGTTATATCATATGCAAACTGCAAAAAATCAAAAACAAAAGAAAATCCTGAAAGACGGCAGAGGGGAAAAAAAGAAAACCATCTTATCCACAGAGGAGCAAGAATAAGAATTACATAGAATTTATCTTTAGAAACTATGCAAGCAGGGACAGAATGGAGTGAAATATTTAAAGTGTTGACAGAAAAACAGCAGTAACAACAAACTAGAATTCTGTATCCAGCAAAAGTGTCCTTACAAAGAAAAGGAGAAATAAAGACTACCTCAGACAAATAAAAATTAGAACTGCTCTCCAATATCCTTGCCTTGTAAGACACATTAAAAGAAGTTCTTCAGGGCCCGGCGTGGTGGCTCACGCCTGTAATCCTAGCTCTCTGGGAGGCCGAGGTGGGTGGATTGTTTGAGCTCAGGAGTTCGAGACCAGCCTGAGCAAGAGCGAGACCCTGTCTCTACTAAAAATAGAAAGAAATTGGCCAAACAACTAAAAATAGAAAAAATT